GAGCTCCATCAACTCATACTGTCTGTAATCTCAAGTCACGCTGGAAAAACGGATCATTTTCAAAGCTTTGACCTAGTAAAGCAAAGCCTTTTGGCTTTTTATGTTTTGGCCATTTATGTTGACATGTAGCTAAATAATAAAAGAACTGGTAGCCTATTAGGTCTATGTTTTTAGTCAAAGCATGTAGCCAAAACAAGTAAACAAGCTTCCATAACACTTCACAATAAGGTCCCATTAGTTACTCCATTAAATAATATTAACAGATAGGTCTACAGCTTTTACTTTTAATAAGGTATTAGTAAATGTTGAAATTAAAATGAACTAGTAAATTAGAAGTATTTTTCATAAACTAATTTTTACAAATGGAACCTTATTGTAAAGTGTTACCCAGTTTCCATACTCAAAAGCAATTAAACATCAGTAAACATTTATTTCTTAGGTTTTGAAATAGATGATTATATAGGAATTATATATGAATAATATATGTATTTAAGAATAAATATTTAAGTCATAGTAACCTGTTAAATATGTATTTTGTTCTTTGAAAGTCTAATTAAATAATTTAACCAAATATTTTTTAAATGTAATATTAAAATATACCCACTCAAGTTCTTTATACTGCTAAATGCATGATTATTATCAGTACACACAATAAAAAAAAATTGTTTACTGTCACAAAAGGAAACTTGTGTGACTCATGTAATCTATTTGATCATAAAATCAAAGTTCAAAGCTTCAAACATTTTCTTACTTTTATTTTTTTATATATTGCTCAGAAACAATGACATAGGAGTGATAAAAACATTGACGTTCATCTCAATGTCAGACGAATGATAATTATGAATGACTGAAAGATAAAGGATCATAACTTGAATGAATATTAACACTGTTGCAATAAGCCTTTTTGTAGTCATTCAAGGAAGTGAAATGTTAGTATTATCATTTATACTTGGACTCGAATTGATTTTATTAAGATGCAATGAATGACACATTTCGTGAAATGATTTGGATTCGAAACCAAATAACCTTCTTTAAAATCTTATATATAATATATATA